AAGGTCTGCGGACGGATTTGACGTCTGGGTTATCCGAGGACGAGACCCTCTTAGACGGCACTGTCGATTTTCAGGAAGCCACTTCCAACGACCAGAAAGTCTCCAAAGGAAATTCGCACGATGTGCCGACGGCACCAGCAGCAGCAGCGGCGGCGGCATCAGGCGGCGGGTCAAGATTGCAGGATCGTATTCGCGTCTTCAGCCAGAATAAGTTGCCTGCGCGGAAATCGACGGGTTTCCTGAAGCTACTGTGGCTCGCTTACAATGACAAGATTATCATTCTGCTTACAATAGCTGCTATCATCTCGCTATCTCTGGGTATCTACGAAACAGTCGATGAGGGGCATGGCGTGGATTGGATCGAAGGTGTCGCCATCTGCGTGGCTATCTTGATTGTAACTGTCGTGACCGCCGCGAATGACTGGCAAAAGGAGAGACAGTTTGCCAAGTTGAACAAGAGGGTAGGTGGACCGGGCCCCACGCTTGTCTATAATGTTCTAACCATGTCACAGAATAGCGATCGGGAAGTCAAGGCTGTTCGCTCCGGTAAAGTGGCTATGATCTCGATCTTCGATATCACGGTCGGTGATGTACTCCACCTGGAGCCTGGCGACTCTGTTCCTGCAGATGGTATTCTCATCTCTGGACACGGAATAAAATGTGACGAGTCCTCTGCCACTGGAGAATCAGACCAGATGAAAAAGACCAATGGACACGAGGTTTGGCAGCGCATTGTTAACGGAACCGCCACGAAGAAACTAGACCCTTTCATGATCTCGGGCAGTAAAGTCCTTGAAGGAGTAGGGACTTACCTTGTGACCAGTGTCGGACCGTACTCTTCCTATGGCCGTATCTTGCTCTCACTGCAAGAGTCGAATGATCCCACTCCTCTTCAGGTGAAGCTGGGAAGACTTGCCAACTGGATCGGATGGCTTGGCTCTAGGTAGGATAACCAGCTCAATATACAGGACTCATGCTGACCTTACTAGTGCTGCCATCATCTTGTTCTTCGCCTTGTTCTTCAGATTCGTTGCCCAACTGCCAAATAACCCTGCCAGTCCTGCGGTCAAAGGCAAGGAATTTGTCGATATTCTTATCGTTGCGGTCACGGTCATCGTCGTGGCGATTCCCGGTAAGACGCTCAAGAACCTTTAGCAGGAAATCATCAGCACTTGACTAATTCTCCTCAGAGGGCCTTCCCCTGGCCGTAACACTAGCTCTTGCATTTGCCACGACACGAATGGTCAAGGAAAACAATCTCGTCCGTGTCCTTCGTGCTTGCGAAACCATGGGCAATGCCACGGTTATCTGCTCCGACAAGACTGGTACTTTGACACAAAACAAGATGACTGTCGTCGCTGGGACCTTTGGAACCCAAAAGAGCTTCAGCCAGGACAGGACGGAGAATGACCACCCGTCCGACGACTCGACGACAGTGGCCGGGATCGTCAAGCAATGCTCAACTGCAGTACGCGACCTGATCATCAAGAGCATTGCTTTGAATTCCACCGCGTTCGAGGAAGAGAAGGAAGGGTCCAGAGAGTTTATCGGAAGTAAGACTGAGGTGGCATTGCTGCAAATGGCCAGAGACTATCTCGGCATGGACGTCACTACTGAACGTGGCTCTGCGGAAATTGTTCAGCTGATCCCCTTCGACTCCTCCCGCAAATGTATGGGTGTGGTCTACCGTGAGCCCACGGCAGGCTATCGTCTCCTGGTCAAAGGGGCCGCCGAGATCATGGTTGGCGCATGCTCCTCGAAGGTCTCCGATCTTAGTGCGTCTTCGGATGGTGTCATGGTCGACTCATTCACCGAGAAGGACCCCCAGAAGATGCTTGATACGATCGAGGCTTATGCAGTGAAGTCCCTGCGCACCATCGGTCTCGTGTACCGGGACTTCGCAAGCTGGCCTCCAAAGGATGCGCAACGCGTGGAAGACGACCCATCTGCAGCAAAGTTCGAAGATGTCTTCCGCGACATGACTTGGCTTGGTGTTGTGGGTATCCAGGACCCCCTGAGACCCGAGGTGCCGGCTGCGATTCAAAAGTGCCGTACTGCTGGTGTGCAGGTGAAGATGGTCACTGGTGACAATATCGCAACGGCCACCGCCATCGCCATATCCTGCGGAATCAAGACAGAGGATGGCATTGTCATGGAGGGTCCCAAATTCCGTCAGCTATCAGACGACGAGATGGACGAGGTCATTCCCCGCCTGCAAGTCCTGGCCCGTTCCTCGCCCGAAGACAAACGGATCTTGGTGGCACGGCTCAAGAAGCTGGGCGAAACTGTGGCTGTCACCGGCGACGGCACTAACGACGGGCCGGCTCTGAAGACGGCTGACGTCGGTTTTTCAATGGGTATTGCAGGCACGGAGGTTGCTAAGGAGGCCAGCTCTATCATCCTCCTCGATGACAACTTCAAGTCTATTGTTACGGCGATCGCCTGGGGCAGAGCTGTCAACGATGCCGTAGCAAAGTTTCTCCAATTCCAGATCACGGTCAACATTACTGCTGTCATCTTGACCTTTGTCTCGTCCCTCTACAGCAGTGACAATACAAGTGTCCTGAGTGCGGTTCAGCTGCTCTGGGTCAACCTGATCATGGACACCTTTGCCGCCCTCGCACTTGCAACAGACCCCCCGACAGAAAACATTCTCCAGCGCAAGCCCGTGCCCAAGAGTGCATCGCTTTTCACTGTGATTATGTGGAAGATGATCATCGGACAGGCCATCTACCAACTTGGCGTCACCTTTATGCTCTACTTCGCGGGAGACAAGATTCTTGGAAGCCATCTCGGCACCGACAATCGTCAGTTGAAGCTCGACACTATTGTTTTCAACACATTTGTTTGGATGCAAATCTTTAATGAATTCAACAACCGAAGACTGGACAATAAGTTGAATATCTTCGAAGGCATGTTCCGGAACTACTGGTTCCTCGGCATCAACTGCATCATGATCGGGGGTCAAGTAATGATCATCTACGTCGGAGGTGCAGCCTTTGGTGTGACTCGTCTGGACGCTGTTCAATGGGGAGTTTGCATCGTCTGTGCTATTGCCTGTCTGCCATGGGCAGTGGTCTTGCGATTGACACCCGACCGGCCCGTCGAGATTGTCATCAACTTCGTCGTCCTAGTTGTGGGCACCGCCTTGCGGCCGATTGCCAAGGCCTTAAGTGCCATTGCGAGAACATTCTCGTCTATGATGCGACCTGTTAAGCGCTTCAGCCGTCGTGTCCTGCGTCGGAACGCTGAAGAGGACGACTCCAAGACTGAGAACGAGGAAGCACCCTTGACAGACCTGGAGCAGCAGCATACGCCCAAGGCACCTGCGACACCAGCAGTTGTGCCTCCCATTACGATTACAAGCTCTTAATGATTTCTATACGACAACTCGGCTTGTTTCCCAGCGCTTCTGGCTGTGGCGCGGCCTGTTCGGCGTCTACATGATTGACGACATTTCCTAGATATATCCATACGCATACTCTGTAAATATGGGTTGGCTTACTCGTTTTCTGTTCTCATGTTCTACGTTTGTCTGCATCATTTGTTGAGAGCAAATGACTGGCGTTGTTGGCTGCCTGACTAGCTTGAGCGTTCTCTGACTTTGTGAAAGAGATTGTACGATAGTTAAATAGAGATGAGTGCATCATCTGATTGCATCCTTGAAAGAATCGAGAAATACCTTGACTTCATCCTTCGAGTAAAGAGAAATCCAATCCTGTATGGCGAAGCCCCCGTAAAGAGTAGAGTTTCTGCCTAAGGCTGCAAGATCCACCTCTCCGCACCGCCGCATCGTGCCCATCCTCAACAGGCGTCCAAGTCAACCTGTCTCTCAGCTGTCCCATCTCGCTCAATTCTTTCCTCCCTGGATTTACAGTCATTGAATCAATTGCTGAACAGTTGTCTCTAATAACGATCTGACCGGCACTGCAAGATAGCCCACTCCCCGTCTTCCCATCACCGCACGTCATTTTGGAGCTTCCCCCGCTTCATTCCACTGGACATTGAACCTTAAGGCAGGGTAAGTTCTCTCTGAATACTTCTCGCAGCCAAACTAATAATATACTAGCTCTGCAATACAGGTCTCAATTCTCTGAATCACTCTCGTCTCTTATTCCCAAATCTCGATCATCGTCTCTCCATACACCCACACCCCTATCCAAAATAATCACAACAAGAGCAGCCATGGCCCAGCTAAACTACCGCACAATCAACATCGACGTGCTGGACCCCGAGTCCTCGGTCAACTTCCCCATGGAGACCCTCCTCCCCGCTACCCTCCCCGCCCCGCAGACATCCTCCGACGCCGCCAACGTCGCCAGCCAAGTCCGCCAGCTGCTCCGCGGCGGCGACCCCGAGGGCGCCTTGCGGTACGTTCTCGACACGGCCCCGCTGGGGGGAGACGATCGTGCCAAGGAGGTGCACATGGCTACTGTTGTGGATGTGCTGCAGGGGATCCGCCAGGGGGAGATGACCCGCGTGCTGGAGGGGGTATGTAGCGGGGAGGGCGGATCGGAGAGGGCAGACTGCTTGATGAAGTATTTGTAGGTTTGCCCCTGCCTTTGCGGACGATACACCCCGGGGAGGGGAGATGCTGTTGCTAACGGTGACTAGGTACAAGGGGATGGCTTCTTCGGCTCCTGGTGGCGGGGCGCAGTCGCCTCGGAAGTCGGTGTCTCCGCAGAACACGGGATTCTCGCAGATTCAGGCCCGGAATCTGGGTGAGGGCGGGAGCGCGCAGCAGATGAGTGTGTTGCTGAGCTGGCATGAGAGGTTGGTTGAGCTTACGGGTACGGGGTCGATTGTCCGGGTTATGACGGATCGGAGGACGGTTTAAGGTGTCAGGGATGTACTGAGAGGTTTCCTTTCTACTCTTCTTAAAGTCAAGCTGTGGTTTCTCTGCGTTGCGGATGGGTGATATCCTTGTTAGATTGCGCAACTTCTATTATACATATTTGTTTTTCCTTTTCATAAGACAGTTCACTCAAGAACCATTATGATTATGGCCGATCGAAGGACCCGCCCCCAAGGATGTCTTTCAGATTAACCTGCCCGCTGCCTCGCTGCAATGGTTGCGCCTGGCCTTCCCCTTCCTTCCACCCGATCATGTATATCAGCCGGAATGTAGCGGGGATACCCCTCGACCCTTCCTCCTTATGCAGCTCGCGGTAGATCGCCTCGTTGGCCAAGAGCACATCGCGCGAAATAGGCCCCAACTCCCGATGCAAAATGGCGTTATTCTCCCCCATCGCCTGAAGATCCTGCATGAGCGCAAACGTGTCCGGGAACTCGACCACGATATCCTCGACGTCCACCGTCAACATCTTGAATCCGGCCTTGTTCAGCAGCCCGCCGACATCCCGGACGTCCGCCAGAGGGGACACATGCGGGCTGACGCCACCCCGCCGCTCGAGGTCCGCCAGCTGCAGCGACGTGCGGAGCTCAAATAGCGTGTCGCCGCCGAACATGGCTGCGATGAAGGGGGAGTCTGGCTTGAGGATGCTGTTCACCTGTGCCAGCAGAGAGGGAAGGTCGTTGATCCAGTGGATGGAAAGGGAGGACAGGACGGCGTCGAAGGTGTTAGGTTCGTAGGGCAGGGTCTCGAGGTCTGGGACGACCTGCCGCTCGAGATTGATCCCCTTGTTGAAGGGTTCGTCTGCGTCCCGGTAGAGGAGGGCGTGTGACGTGTCGATGCAGGTGAGTTTGGAGATCTTGTCCGCTAGAGGCGGCGATGTCTCGGTGCTGGGGTCCGGGTTTGGTGTTGTCAGGGCGCGAGCGATGTTGCAGCTGTTGGCGCCTAGGTCCAGGACATGGGGGAAATCTCGTTTAATATCCTGTAGGACCCAATGTTAGCCATATACTTCAAGGACTAGAGCAGAAGAGCTTGCCAGTAGCCGTTCACACAACCGTGTAGCCACCTCATCTTTGATGTAGTCTGTTTTTCTGCTCTCCTCCACATTCCGAGCTGCGCGATCTCTCTGAAGATGCTTGACTTTTCGGTTGAACACATCGAAGACTGGACTGCCGGGGGTCTGGTTGGCGTAGCTCCTCGTTGCAATGTACGAGGGCTGTGATCGGACGGCTCGATGGAATATATGGCGGAGTGACATGGTGATCTGCGAGTGTACGAATTGATGGTCAGATATCAAGTCTATGGCATTCCGAACTTTGATATGTATTCAGTTCAAAGGGGCAATTGAGGGAGCTGGAATGTTGATGATATCGAACAGTCGTTAAGCTGTTGGCAGGTGACGTCGATTGTATTTTCTGTTCAGCAGAACTCCGCAATCCCGCGTTGCGACACAAACATCTCGATCCCCCACGCCTGGTTTCTTGTCTGCATTTGAGCAACGCAATTGGCGAAGGATTGTCTCGCTGGCATGACTTATTGAAAAATCCATACTCATCTGAAGTGATGCTGTTTAATTGTGAGATTGTCCCCACTGTGAAGTACATATCGCCTACCGACAGTGACAGCTAATCGTAGGCTTCATATCGTACCAAGGCGCTCCTGGAATTATGTCCAATTACTCCGTTTAAGACAACATTCGGCTCGCGGTCAACCTAATACCCTCATTGAACACCCCGAGAAAGGAAACCCGCCTTCGTCATGTCGCGCCCTTTCCCCTATACCTATATCTCGTGTCCATGTGCCGATACCCCTGTTCCTGATCGTTCCCGAAAACGAAGATCGCGAGAGTCTCCCACCAAAAAGCCAGAACAGGGAGACCCTTCAGCAGCTGCGGATACCGATGAGGAGGATGAGGAGGAGGAGCAGACATTTGACCCTCGAGCTCCGCGTTCCAACTTCTCTCTGTATCCTCCGGAACAGCTGCTGTACTGCGAGGACTGCCATCAGATAAAATGTCCGCGATGCATCACAGAGGAGATTGTGTGCTGGTATTGTCCGAATTGTCTGTTCGAGACACCGAGCAGCATGGTTCGAAGTGAGGGTAATAGGTGGGTGCCATTAGGTCCTGTTTCGCCAGTAGTTCCCCGCTGAAGAGCTGCTTTGCTCCGGTTAGATGTGCCAGGAACTGCTTCAATTGCCCCATATGCACTGCACCCCTTGCAGTCAACACGCTCGAGAATGTCGCGGGAAGTGAAGGCCAACAAGGACCATGGGTGCTTTCGTGCGCATATTGCATGTGGTCGTCTCTAGACATCGGCATCAGATTCGACAAGCCCACCAACATCTGCGCACAGCTTTCCAAGATGACCGATACTACAGCCGCTCGGGGTAGACAGATGTCCAAAACCGTGGGTGAGCTCAAGTCTCCTCTGTCTACGTACTCCACCATCGACGATCAATTTCCGGCCCCAGGAGAAAGCAGAGATGGTCAATCTACGCCATCCGGCGACCAGTCTGTAGCTCCTTTGACGTCCGATGGGAGGTTCTCCGCGCTCAAGGCGTTTTACAAAGACCAGATAGCTGCAACGTCCACATCGCCCACAGACCCGCTGGGTACCGACTTTGGGCCCGGCTTTGCCTCACCTGGTGCTCTAAACCGTATAATGTCCCTCTACGCGGCATCATCGCGGCTCAGCAATCTCTACGGTGGTGCCAACAAGAAACCTAAATCAAAGCCTCCAGTCATGAGAGAAACTCTGACCGCCAGCGAGGGTCTGAAGGTCCCAGCTCCTGACGCAGAAGACGCCGTCATCCAGCGGGTTTCCTCGGAGGAATGTGGCTGGGACGGCCTCGCGTCGATCGAGCAGCGCATGTTCCAGTCCCCCGACGCTCGGTTCGTGGAGGACCTTCTCCCTTTACCCGCATTACTCCGAACCAAGCGTTCGAAACGTTGCAAGTCGTGCAAACACATCCTCGTCAAGCCCGAGTTCAAACCTCAGTCCACCCGGTTTCGCATCCGTCTCATCGCCCTCAGCTACATACCTTTACCTACTCTACGACCCCTAGCCCTAGGACCGCCTACGGGCCTCCCCGCAATAACACCTTCAACATCCAGTTCAACTCCTAACCTGGACGCCCTTCCCCCGCTGAAACCCTTCCAGCTCCTTCTGACACTCAAAAACCACATGTTCGACCCTGTCCGGGTAACGCTCGCCACGCCTTCAGTAACACCAGGACGCGTAGCCACAAAAGTCACAATCCTCTGCCCGCAATTCGACATCGGAGCCAACAGCGACGTCTGGGATGAAGCCCTGCAGGGCACAGCAGGAGGCGACCAGCGCGCCTCCCGCTCCGGCGGGATGAACCTCGGGTACGAGAAAGTCGCAGAGGCAGGCAAAGTCTGGGACAAGGGGCGGAACTGGACGACCGTCGTCCTGGAAGTTGTCCCTGGGACATTACCCGGCGGCAGTCTAGGGACCCGCAGACGGCAATCTCTCGGTGGTGATGACGACGGGGACGGGGATAGCAGCCATAGCATCGACGATGATGACGAAAATAATAACAAGAACAACAATGCCAGCCTCGACTGGAGCGGGCAGGCCAAGGACCCCAAGAACCAGCTCCAGCCCGACGAAGACGTCCTCGAGATCCCGGTCTTTGTGCGTATGGAATGGGACTCGGAGAATCAGATGGAGCAGGCTGCCGGGAAGGGGCAGAACTCCGATACGGTCAAGCGAGAATTGGCGTATTGGATGGTGCTGGGGGTTGGCCGAATCACGGCAGAACTTGCGTAGTTGGCATTGCTGTTCGTTACGTGGATACATCTATATACTCCGTAGATAGTTTACATACCCATTGCGTTGATTTGAGTACATACGGAGTATTTACGGCTGCTCAGGTGTTCACGGTAAAAATACTTTACTTCCTGTACCCAAACTGTGCAAGGCAACTCGAAGCGCAATGCTGGATAGCTTGTGGCTGGCCGGTAGCATGATACTCTGCTACGACGCATGGAGGTGGCGATCCAGGTTTGAACATGAACCGAAGCTCTTGCCATGGGCTTCGATAAAAGGACGCCGAGTGGATCAGAAGAAAGGAAAGAAGAATAGATGTCTTTTTAACCACGCCGGAAAGAAAAGCCTGGAACCAGTAGATCATGATTTTTTTATTATCACATCGCATCCTTTCATTTCAGGAACCTTTATCCTTGTACCCGAGAACCAGATCAAGCTACCCCATCGCAGAAGGGCCATGATGAGAATGCATATTTTGTGCGTGGGTAAAAAAAAAAAGTCAACCTTTTCTCATTCCTTTCTTCTCTCTCGCGCGCGAGAACCCGCCCCCCGACACGAATCCCACCAGGACCCCTCCGTGTGCACTCGCTTTATTTACCTAAACCACATGATTCTGACAAGGATAAATAAATCTAGTACTCGGCGGCACCGCTCTGGGGGAACTCGAAGACAACAGAGCGGCCGGTTAGTCGGCGGTAAACCTCGCCGTAGGCATCGAGTCTGTGGTCAACACCACCACGCTCCTTCTCGTCCAGGATGACCTTGAGAGTCTTGCTGCCGTCCTCCTTGGTGCGGATACGCTTGCCGACGATCTCGACGGGGTAAACGAGGTCGTCGAGGATGGCGTCGTGGACAGCGGTCAGGGTGCGAGAGCGAGGACGCTTCTGCTTCTGGTTGGTGCGGGAGTTGACAGAGCGCTTGGGGCGGGGCAGGATGCGGCGCTGAGCAACGAAAAGGACGTGGCGGTCGGAGAACTTCTTCTCGAGCTCACGGGTCAGGCTATACAAATTTGTGCGTGTCAGTTTCTGCAGTTCATCTGCTGTGGTTATGGTTGCTGCGTGGCATTTCGTACCGCTGCTGGATCTTGTGGAAGCCCTGGAGGAGAGGGACGGGGACGAAGATGATAACGGCCTTCTTGCCGTGGCCGACCTCAACCTGTAGGACCATGTTAGATGACCTGAGAAAATAGGTATGCACAAAAACCCGCAGAGTCCAGTGCCCATCACACCCCGTATCACCCTTCCACCTCGTCTTTCCTATTTCCCAGACAGCAAAGAAACGTGCAAAATCTGTCATTGGGACAAGCATGCGCACACAGAACAATCTCCGCACACGATTCCATCTGTCAAGCATATAGATATACCACGCCCGTCCAATATTATTGTTTTTTCCCATTCCTCGCTTCGAAAGAACAATTGCGGTGTAATTGACACTGAACTCATGCGGACTGGAACAAAAAGTAATCAGGCGAGTCTTACCTCACGGGCAGAGACAAACTGCAGGGGCCGAAGGGTGGCCTTTAGGTCCTGTGTGTTGCTCTCCAAGTCGAAGAGAGCGCCAGCGATCGCAGTCTCCAGCTCGGAGGGGTTCTGCCTCGATGGCGAGTTGTGGGCGATCTTGTTGATAGCAGCCATGATTGCAGACGAGCGACGGGTAGCTGGCTGTACTGCTGGTGCTGCTTTCCTTGTCGCGAAGGGAGTTGGTCGTCGAAGGGGAAAATAATCGACTCAGGACGGAGTTCCTACCCTACAATTTGCGCTTGGTCGTGCTGGTGTGGGATCGGAGTCTCGGCGCCTCGCTTAGCGGTATTGCGCTTTGCCGTTGTTGGGTTAGCCTCTGCCCTCTTAGGGGAACGCTCGTCCCGTGACTTTCTTCGCCCTTTGCGCCTAAGGCACTAACATCTACATTGTATCCACAGGTCATCGACAGACTAGGTATTCTTGTTAGTCTTGTACATAGAGTTGGCGTAGTAGGTTTCTCTTAAGAAATTGAATTTTACAGCTCAACAAGCGGACTGTCATATATCCACATTCAACTAGAAAATACAAGGTTCCAGAATCTGGCTCACACTGGCTCAAACGGGCTGGGGATCAATAGGAGGGCACAGTCGCAAGTCCTTCGGAAGATGAACAAAGAGTAAAAAAGAAGGGTTTCAAGCAGTCACACAGTAATGCGGGAAATAAAAAAACACGCCTTGAACTATTAGGACAGGTTGCATGCATTGAAACTAGGCCGATCCTGCTTCGTGATCGAACTAATCTCTGAACTGAAAGCTATGCGCCTACAGCATGATATGCGTATCCAGGGTAAGAAGAAAATGCCGACAGAGAAAAGCCGATTCAACAGGCGCAGCCTTCCTTGGCTGTAGCAGCGGCTCGGTCTCCAAGATTGACTCTCGTATCGTCCGCGGGACGTCCAGCACCCAGGGCAGTTTGACCGGTTCCCGCACCGGCACCCCGTCCAC